GTTCGACTATATGTATACCTCTTTCTGATGATAATCCTTTGAGGAAAATATATATTTCTCTTTGAGGAAAATACGATTAGATGTAATATTCGTAGGACACAATATTTGTAGGATATAAGATTCGTAGGACACAATATAACTGTTGATGAACGATTCCCCCAAGAGGGGGAAGCAAGTGGCTTTTATAGTTTCATCGTGGGAGACTGGTCATGTGATTAAGTGTTATGAGGTAAAAGGTATGCGAATGGGTCAAAGTTGTCCCCGGGCCCATGCTAACTATCAACTTTGGAGTTGGAATGTGAGATTAGTTTCGAAATGGACGGATGTTTACTTTGAACGAAAGGGGAGATTGGAATTTTTCCCTTTTTTAAGTTAGATTTTAGTTTAGGTTTTAAAGGAAAACTTAATTGGGGGTTTAGGAAACTGCGTGATATTACTCGGAAAATTCGGTAAAAATTTCGGATTTCACATCATTGTCAACATAATATTCCTCTTGTGATAGCTAAAAGTTTTTACTATTATATTAATAAGGTGTTTAAAACTTAAGAATAATTTTTCAATAAAAACTAGGTCATTATAAGGATAAACAATGTATTGCCCATCATAAAAGGTAAATAGGTACATATGAGAATTTAGATTACATAATAGCAAATAGCAATACACACAGATACTGTTTTGGATAGAATAATTTTCAGGTTGAAACACTTAAGGGAGGTAAATAAAATATTAATCAGCTTGTAAAGTTTGAATTGGAATGAATGATTTTTAGATCAGTATAAGCTATAGTTTAAGATAATATCTGGAATAGCAAGATAGTGATAAATAGAAGGTTATGTGAAACAGATTCCTGAGATAGTTCTGCATATAGCAAGAAATTGCAAAATGAAGTCGCCTAGTTTAACATTAAATGATTATTATTATTCATGTAATCAAGCTAAAACAGAAAATTGTAACATTTAAAATGGTTACTTAAATGTTCTAGTACAGTAAGAACAAAAGTATAACTGAATCAAATGATTGATATCTGTGTACACAACGTAGATAAAATTTTTACTCAAATTCTTAACTATTTTAAGTTCAGTAGAAACTAAGCAATAGTATAAAACTCATCTGAAATGTTTGGGACCAGAAGTATTTTGGATTTTAGAATATTTGTATCTGATTTGATTAGTCTGATTTGAAAAATACAAAAAACAAATTTTCTTAACAATCCATAGTCTCAGTCATCATTGACAAACACACACCAAAAAAACTTATCGCGCACACACCCTTCACTTACATACTACCTTTTATTTGAGGCCATATCTCTAAAAAACTAAATTAGTTTAAAATGTCTTCTTGGTGACAATACCATAAATTAAAACAAATAGTTCATTAAAGATGGCCAAGGGTAAGTACAGTCAGCAATAAAATGTTGTCTTTTGTAAGTGAAGATTTTGTTTTATGTTTGTCAATAGCGACTTAGACAACTGATTGTAAGGGCAAAACTTTTTTGTCTTCAGTGTAATTTTTACTATTATCGTAAATTATCGTCTGCCGTTTTTAATGATGTATTCCAGAAAATCATTCTGGTTGTCAAACAAAGTCAAAACAGTGGAACATTCCCAATGATTTGTAGAATTTTGCATTGGTAATGCCATGTCAGTACTATTAAAAAAAACTTGGTTTTGAAGTTTTCACTTTTTGGAATTTTTGTTAAAGGATTCTCAACCCATATAAAGTCAATGGGATATAAAAATCACTTTTTGATTAAAAAGAAAATCTAGCTGACTGTTCAAAATATTAGATAGGTGGTAATAATCTGTTTCAATACCAGTAGTTCACAGTCAGATTACTTGTTCTGTGATGCTGTTTTCACTGAAAATTATATGAGCTTGCTATCATGCATCTCATATAAAGTATAAATAAAATCCTTTTCATAATACATTTTATTTAAATTTATTTAAGTGGAGAATACAGTTAAGGCAATTGTCAAAACCTTAGTCAAATGTAAAATTTAAATTTTAAAAAGTTAACAATAAATGTAAGCATAAAATATTTTTTTTGTGTAAATTTATATCTAGTTTATAGAAATGTGCCAAAAACATTAATTTTTTTTTTACTTATTGCAGATTGGTAGTAAATTTTCTACATTTTGAAATGATGACAAATATTTAGAAATAAAAGTTCTAAATAGTTGATTCAGTTTATATGAATATAGGATTATTCACATTTTTCTCATTTTATTTTAGTTTTCTTACACATTAGTTTTTTTTTCCTCTTCTAATATTTCACTACCCCAAAAAACTTCTTAAACTAGAAAAAACTTCTATAATCAATAAATTGAAGTTTATAAACAAATTTCAGAATAATAGAAATTAATAAAAATATATCATTAAACTTCTTGTTTCTTTAATTTTTAAACTTTATTTAATCCAAAAAGCATGATTATATTTGAATATTGATACAAGTGCTTATATAAATTTTTGAACAATCATAACATTTGAATTTAAATTCTAAAATATTCTAATTATTATTTTGATGTATATTATATATTATTTTATAATTTTTTTTATATATATTAAAAAACTTAATGTGTTTTTCTAGGATGAACACAAAATTCCCATTGAAGAGTTGTACCTTCGATTAGGAACCAATCCTGAAACTGTAAGAAATACTTTTTCTGTTTCATGTAAATTTAAAAATTTTAATTGTACTTTAATAGTGATAGTTTNCTTGAGTATTTTGATGTCCTAAGCTGAACTCTGTAAGGCCCCTTATCAACCATTGACAATTTTAGAAGTCAATTATAAAAAGAAAAAAATCAGACTATTGCTCTGATATAATACGGATATTGGAAGAAAGAGATGTGAAGTTTTACTAGTCTTCTGCTTATAACCGAATTTAATTAAATTTTTATACCCATTCCATTAAAAAAATTTTTAAAATTGGTTTTATCAATTTTTTAAAAAAGATCTTATGTTAATTCTTAGAAAAAAATTATTGAAATAGTACACAAAATAAAAAGTAAAGTATATTTTGTTGTATGTATGTATGTATTTATGTAAGTGATATTTAGAAGTATATTTTGTTGGTTTGTAAAAAAAGTTTATTACAAAATTTTAGCTGGCAACACTCATTCGTCCATGAAAGGGAGCCAGTATTTAAACGAAGCTTAATTTTCTAATTTTTAACGATTCAATAGCGACGATTAATAGAGAGGTTGAGGCACACGTTTTAAACGTGTAAACGTGTACGTGTGACGTTCGGCGCCGCTTTCCCGTAAGCCTAAAAGTGTTTGGAATGTCGAGCGTGATTCCACCGACTATCCAAACACCATTGTCAAACTTTTAGGCTTACGGGAAAGCGGCGCCGAACGTCACACGTACACGTTTACACGTTTAAAACGTGCGCCTCAACCTCTCTATTAA